TCATATATTAAATACTGGCGCCGGGTATTTAATGTTCGGTTCCGCCCGAACTTAGACTTTCTTACTTGTTTATGTCTGAATTTGATTCGATTGCTAAGGAAAAATTTCAATAAATCTTCTTACCCTTTCAGTTACCCTAATTCTTATGTACTTTTCAATTTTAAAATTTCAAATACGAAAACAACTCAAATTAAACTAGTTCCAACAACAACTATACACAAATACCACGATTTTGGCCAATTTTGAAACTATAAAAACCCCTTCTCATCTACAGAAAAATACCTTTCCAATGGTGTTCTTGGTTTTGAAATCGGTTTGGTACAATCGCCAAATGAAGGCGGACAAAATTTATAATTATAAAAAGCAGCCAAATCGTCCTATGAATAAGTTGGATATAGGACTTTTACTTTATTTTTTCGCGGTAGACTTTTCGCTGGAATCGCCCATATTCACTTACAAGTCTTTCCAACACGAGGAGATATTAACTTTCATATAACGACATATATATGTGTACATATGTGTATGTATGTATGTATGTATGTATGTATGCATTTAATACTTGACTTGCTTATTTAAATGCATGCATGTCAAATGGGGCGGCAACTGATAAGAATTTATATGGAGAAAAGTTCCCGTACATGTGGGAGGCTGATAGGAGATCTAATGAGTGAAAATTTATGAGTGTGAATTTGTAATAATTTACTCGGCGACATTTATAGTTTCTTGTTACACTGCATTTGCACTGAAAAACACGCATACTAAATTTAACATCTTTCCTGATATGTAAGGGAGTGTTTTCTACAGTTAGCTTCCAAAACTTTCCATTATCACCATCAAGAAAGTTTGACGAATACGTACATAAGTACTTTATAAAAACTCAAATATAATTAGCAGATAAACAGATAAAGACGTCACTTACGTTGAAAAAGTGGCAAATATAAAATATTGGAAGAACAAGTTTGAATTTAGGAAATTTTCAGAAAAGCATGTCTTTGTTATAATAAAAACTGGCAACCATGAAGCAGAAATTTTTATTTCCAATAAAGTTGTTCTTTTAAAACATTTTTATTTAGACATGGGTCATTCCATGTAAAAGAGGACAACGACAAATCAAATAATAGTTATAAGGAACTTAGAAATTGTTTGGTATTTTTTGGAAGGCATTTTACATGTTAGTTATTTATCTATGTTAAAAGATATAATTCAGTGTTTTATACGTTCCGTCGACAAAGTTATAATTCACAATTCATCACATTCTATAGTCAAGTGTCCCAACAGTCACAATGGAATTGCCCACAAATTTTTTAAAAATCTATGGATATTAAGATCAGTTAGAAGTAAAAACAGAATACAAAACCTGACGCAATAAATTAGGGAAAAATATGAAATGCACACTACTCACAAAATCATGAATCGTATACCTATCGTAACTGCCAGCGGCGCTAGAAAAAAGTTTCGTATATATTTCATGTCAATAATGGCACCGTACATGTTTTAATTAGTATGTACTTTCGGAAATCTTCAAGTTAGAATTATTATACAAATGCAAAAATTATGAAATAAAATTTTTATCAACATATTTGTACCAAAGTCTACATACATACATTTATTGACAGCCTATGAACATAAAGCTTAGCTAAATTTTTTAAATAACTAAAATCATGTGTAGAAAACGGCAAAGTCGTTAAACCCCATACAAATACAATTAAACATAAAAAATAAGCACATTTTTAGTTCACACCTACTTAGTACATATGAAAAGACATACATACACACCCAGTGGGAAAATGTATTGTATGGTAATCGAAAAAATCATAAGTTAAACAGCCGTTTTCACATTCGAAAATGCATTAGTTTTCCCACAGCGATGTCCTAAGAAAAGTGGGACATTCAATATTGAAATACCACTAATGCAGGAATGATTTTTGGATACACTAGAATACTGATTACATATTAAATAGTAATAGAATCTAGAACTCATAAGAAATACATACATTATTTATCACGCATGTAATGCATTATGCACTACTTTTCCCACTGGCTATAATTATGTATGAAAGTGTGTATGAATGTCTGTAAACAAAAACAAAGCCAAAATAGCTTGAAAAAACATTGGCAAAGCTGTGCAAACGGAAGTTATTATTAAAAGGGGTAATTTTTTTTATATTGAGATCGTTTGAGCTGAGGAAAACGTGTTGATGGCGCGCTACATTCGAAGTAGTTACGGTCGCACGCGCCTCAATAGAAATTTGCATAATAAGTTGCATATAGACATGTATATATGTATGTTTGTGTGATTGTTTCTAAGTACGTGTTGTAGAATTATGGGAGTAAATACATATGTATGTCTAAGCAGTTTGTTTTTTAGCGATACAGCAAAATTTTTTTAACAAAATAAAATAAAATTAAACGAAAGTAAAATGAAACCAAATAAAATAACGTAATCCGTTTTGAAATATAATTTGTAAACAAACTTAGTCATCTCCTTAAATAATTGTTTGTTATAAACTGTTTAATTGAAATGAAACGAAATTATTTTTATTACTTACATAACTACGTTAATACAAAAAGTATTTTTTGCTTATCTAAAAATATTCTTAAGCAGGATTGCCAACTACACTGCCCCGTTTTTTTGGTGTAGCATACAAATTCCAGAGGTTTTGGGAGTGATACTGGAGCGAAAATAAATGTAAAATTTTTTTTAAATTTTTTTTTTATTAAATTTTTTTTTTTTTTTTTATTTTTTTTTTTTTTTTTAAATTTTTTTTTAATTTTTTTTTTTATGTATGTTACCGCATAACTTTGGACCACNATGATACAAAAATTTAAAGGTAAAACCGCTAAGAGGGAGCCTGAAAATTTTTGAAGTTTGACAACATAACAAAAATGTTTCAAAATTTTCAATCTCTCACCTAAATTCTAGCTTTCAGTCCCAAATAAAAAATAAAATTATATTTTCATCTATTTATTTTTTGTTTCACCTTTATTCAGCATTTGAGTTAGATAGATAATTAATAGAAGTATGCACTGCGACCAAGAGACCTATTGTGCCCTAAAACATTTGAGCATTTGAGTTGCTCTAAAAGTTTAAATTTTATAAAGTAGATAAACTTCATGGTTTATTCTTTAACAAAAGCCGTGTAAATCCAAGTTTCAAACTCTGCGCCTTTTTATACGATGTTGGTAAGATTTTGAAATTATCAAAAATCATTAATTTTTACCAATATTGTATTAATTTTTAACTTAATCGTTAATAAAATTAATTTTCATATGATATATATAGTACACTCCGCGGCAAAATTATAAGTGCACCACAAAATGACAAGTTTTAACAAATTTGGTTTTTGTTATTAAATTTTAACTATTTTTTTATAAAAATGTAGTTTATTTCTTAACAAAGACCGCGTTTTTTACCTTTGAACCATATTTAACAAAAAATGATAATACAAATTTTGGCAAAAATTTAATTTTTTTATTTCCATTTCTTAGAAATAGTCCGGGCTTATGAAAACTTATTAATTTTTTTCCGATATATGGGATATTCACACCTGCCTGTTTATCAAGTTATCTGGCAAAAAATTATTATTCTCTAGTGTATTGTTTTTGATAACTGAGTTAAAAAGAAAAAATAAAACAAAATTTATTTATAAGGATATAGTGTGTTCTTTAACAAAAACCTTTTAAATGCAGCTTTCAAAATTTGTGCAATATTAAAAAAATTCAACCAGCTTTGGTACAAATTTCAAGTTTTTTAATTCGATTTCTTATGCTGGATTTCCACTAGGCATTAGATGGCAAAAATGACAAATGACAAAGTCAGGCATTTAAAAATAATGGTGTCATTACATTCAAAAATCTTTCATTAAGTTCATTTCCACATAGGATTTTTTTTTTGATGGCGTTAATTTTTTCGGTATTAGAAAGATTTTGAGTATGCGATTTTGTAGCCCATTCACCAAAAAAGTTACAGTTTTTCCACCAGAATTATAAAATTTATTATTTATTAAGGCTTAAGCCAAATTATTTCGAAAAAGTATTAAGATTTACGTGAACTGGACTGATTTGAAAATATCTACTCCAAAAATTTAATTTCAGACCTTCTAAGCTTAAACTCTTCTATCATATAAGTGTTTTTTTTTTGGAAAAAATATTATTCAAAACTAATTTTATTTATAAAAGAACTTATGCTTGAAAGAAATTTTCAATCCGGTTTAGCTCACGTGAAACTTAATATTTTTTGAAATGTTTTGGCTGAGGTCTCAAATTATAATTCATTTTATGATTCCGATGGAAAAACAGTACCGATTTTTTTTTTGTAGGGGAGTCAAGCACCCTAACATATATATTTATTTATTTTATGCTTACAAATATCATATAAACTCGGTATAATGTTTTCGTGATACAAAACTCACTGTAAGCTTACAAAGGTAAGCAACTGGATCGGGTCAAAAATCGATAACAGCGTGGTGGATTATGAAGAATTGTCGTAGAAGAAAACGTATGAAAATCTTGTTTTCAGCAAAATGATAAGATTCTCAATTCAAAACAGACATCGCAGATGTTCTTAAAAGTCTTTTGTTTGATTCAAAATTTATCATTTTTGATATTATGCTCTAAAAATTTACACAGATCATATATGTTTCCTATCCTTGAAGCAATATCTTGCTCAAACTTATGCAAACAAGCCTAGAAAGAGAGTTAAAGTGCCTTTGAAGAACATCTGCGATATGTTTCTAATTGCCGCAGGGTAACTTTCAGAATGTATGCCAAATTTCCGAAATAGTACTCATTTCAGAATAAACGTTTGAAAAAAATAGGTTGATCTCCGAAATAGTAGCTATAACTTCTACCCTTGTAAATTAGTCGTATGTCGTTTTTCCAATAAATAAAAAATCAAACAAAATGGACACAAGCTTAATGCAATTATCTAAAATATAAGTGAGTTTAATTAAACAGATTATTTATGTTAGATATTATCGACTTACGGTTATTGCACTTACCTCATAACCAAAAGTAACCGCCA